CTGGGTGGGCAGACAGACTGAGCACAAAGCTGTCCCCCAGGCTGGGGCAGCCTTCCCCAAGCTCCCCAACCCCATCTCCTTAAAGGGGCCTGTGTGGCCAGGGAGCTAGTCCATCTGCCAGCCCACCCCCGTTGCTTCACGCCAGCTTTTCACACACAAACACATGCACACACATGCACACGCGCACCCACACACGCACACACGCATGCACACAGTCACGCGCACGCCCACCAGTCTACCACTAGCACAACCACCTCAGCGCCAGAGCTACACATTTGAGAATCACACTCTACACGGGCTATGTCCTTCTGTGTTCGCCGTGAAGCAGGGATGTCACCAAAGCCCGGAACAGGCTGGCACAAATCAAGACAGGGACGTCCATTCGGACCCAGTGGCTGTCCTCACTGCAAACTCGCCGAAACATCCCACCCCCTTCCCTACATGCCTCTGTCAAAAAGCAAACATTTCAAATGCCTTGGCGAGCCGAGGCCATGCAAAAACGAGGCAGCAGGGAATGCTCAGAGTTTGGGAAAGCATTTCGAGTATGTGGTGCCAAAAGGCCCTCTCTGGTGGCCCTGGCCCTGTGGGTCCCGCTCACCTAGAGTCGAACCCCCCAGCCATCCCTGGCCTAGCTGCACCCAAGGTGAGACCTAAGGTCTCTCTCCATGTCCACCACACCCTGAGAGTCAGGAGTGTCCCCACGGGGACGACACAGGTACCCATGCCACCCTGAGGCACCAGGCACAGGTTCCAAGACCCAAACACATTTTGAGAAACTTGGTTCTGCCCGTTAATTAACGGGTCTCTTCTCGGTTCGGCTGTCTCCGCCCACCTCAGGTTTATGGTTATCAATGAATTCCAATCACACCAACACTGGCCAACACCCTGTTCAGCGTTTTGGATTTGGGGTAGGGGTGAGGAGTGACAAGGCAAGTGCTCGGGTACCAGGGCTAGTTTCCACGGGGGATCTGGGAACTCTGCTCTCTCTGCTTTGGATGCAGCTCACAAGCCTCTCCCAGGCCCAAAGGCAACCCCACGCACTCTTGGGGTAAAGGAGAGGAGATGGACCCCGAAAGATTAATGAGCCAAGCACCAAAGTTCCCAGGACCCCACGTTTGCTCCTCCCTCCCACTTCTGACCTTCATTTCTTGCCAGCCAGGTAGGGGAGTGGGGATAAGTGAGGGCCCACCATGAGAGCGTGGCTCTGCCAAAAAGGAAAGTGCTGGGCTGCCCCAAATGCCCTTACACGCACCTGGTCATTTTACAGATGAGAAGACTGAGTCCAGGGAGGGAAGTTGTTTGTTCTCACAGTATCACCTGGTCTTCCAGTTCCTAGCCCGGTGCGCCAGCAGTTAGAGGACACGGGTCACCACTGATTTTGGTGTGGGTGGGGACAGGCCATTGAGCCAGGGGATGAAGACCACCTGGCCGCAGACTCAAGTCCGGTCTGGGGAGAGAGGCCTGGGCTGGGCCCACATACAACAGTCCCTCTCCAGGAAAGCTGTGAGCTTGGGGCATGTCTTGGAGTCTTACAAGAAGCAGGCTCCGTGGGGCTGGGAACGTGCGGGATTCTCAGAAACCACGGAGTCTTTCCCAGCGGCCCATGTCTGTCCAAACAGGACCCTGGTTAGAAACAGTCGCAGCCAAGGCCATTAGAGGGCAGGCAGGGTTAACTCTACCGGCAGTGGTCTCTCCCGCGGTGTTGGGGTTGCTTGCATTTTATTTGCAGTATCTTTGAGACCTGCCGAGCTAGCTCCGTGTTACTGGATCAGGAAGGAACGCGATTATCGGACGTGCCTTCGTGCAAATTGCGCCTGGCCGACTGGACCGCAGAGCAGCTCGGCCAGGAGCCCTGGCCGCCTGCGACCAACACTCTGGCCCTTCCATCCCCGACCTCCTTTCCCCTTTTCCTAATCGGCCCTGGGCCTCCCGAGAGTCGAGCGGCCCAAGCGACGGGAGACGAGCGAATACGTGGAGCAAGGACAGTCTACGCCCTGAGCGCAGTCTTTGCGCGCGCGGGGCAACAGACACGCAGGGGCGGCGGCCACCCGCAACGCGGCCCGGATCGCCTCCGCCCCGCGATGCTCAGCTTGGCGCTGCTGGACGCCCCAACCCCGCGGGGGAAGCAACCGACGCCCTGAGGCCGCTCAGTCCCTAGGCCTGAAGTCCGAATGACTGTGGGGGTGCTGAGCCCAGGGAGCTCTGAGCGCAGCGCCTAGCACACAGGGCCGGCCTTCTGGCGGAGCTTACCGGCCCCTACCCTGGCCCCCGGGGCCTCAGACTCAGGAAGCTTTCGGGGCAGGGGCGTCCCAGCGCGCCCAGGCCTTACACACCCCTCCCCTCTGCCGCCTCCAGAGGCCTGGATAAAGCCCAAACGCCATCCCTCGAGCTGCCCACGTTCCTAGGGAAATGGAAGGACCCCTGGCCATGGCCTCTATGGGTGGGAGGGGGGCCCTTCTTGAGCTACTCACTTGGGTGACTGGCCCGCATACAGGGATTTCTTTCAGAAGCCACCCCAAAGATAGAAGATCCCAGTGTGGCTTCAGCGGCAGCCTGGATCTCTAACCCAATTCTTTCCCACTTCTCTCCTTTATTTCCCGTGTGTCTCTCAGACCTCATCTGAATTCCGAATCTTGAGATGAGGGCAAGCTTTCAGGGCGGACTCTTAGGAAAAATCTGGGGAAGGAGAAAGCCAGCCAGACTACTCTCCTCTAATCCCGCGGCAAACATCATCTTAAGAACAGGAGCAAAATAGAACCAGAGTACCGAGCTGGGCAAGGAGGGTTGACCTCTTCTGCCGCGGGATAGGGGACTCTCTGTCTCCCTCTCTTTCCTAGCTGGCTGGTCCAGCTCACTCAACCAAAGCAAGGGGGCCTGGGGGCCTGCTGGAGGTCAAGCAGCAAGCACAGGGGCTCCCCGATCCTGAGCACTAGGAAAAGGAATAAAATGCTGCATTTATGTCTTACCCGCCAGCCACCTCTGGGGCTACAGATCGAAAAGAATCTGTGTTGCACATATGGGGAAATGTATTATACTCACACGTCCCCCAGTTCCATATCAGCCTGACTTACAGACAAACTGCCATGGTTAAAACAACAACCCAAACCCAGGTTATGTTCAGTGCCACTGCATCAAGGAAAATCACTTTTTGGAAAACTCATCGTCACCTGAAATGTTAAGTTCACAAGGAGCTTCACTCTTAGCAAAGTACAGCTCACCTACTTGGGTGGGAAACTCATTCCCAACTTGGAGCTCTGGCCTCAAAGTTCACACGCAGAGACCAGCAGGGGAGTTGTGCGTTTGGGCCAGTGAAACAGATAATAAAACCATCCCCCTGCCCCAGGCATACCTCACAATGGTTTCATCGCTATTAAAAATTTTTTAAAGACAAGATCTCAAAATTGGAAAGGCAAATAATCTCCGTATTACTTAAAGTCCTGAGAGTTGATAAATTTAGAACTCTAAAAGCACTACCAATTATTCTTGAAGGCCAATGAGCCTTTACAATTTTTCACTGCAATAGGGTAAGGATTAAGAAATCAAATCAAGAAGTAAAGAGGTTCTGAAATCCAACTCTGATCTAGCCACTGCCAGGAATGGTCATTAAATGCTCCAGAATCAATCTTCTTTGGACCTTCTCCTGCCCACTTCAGATTCTTTTCTGGAAAACCATTACGATGGGGAAGGAAGTCCGCATTTTAGGAAATGGAGGGAAAGCAGGACTCCCTGGTTCTTAGGAGTTAGCTAATGGAACACACTTATCTTTCTCCTCCTTTGCCTCCTCTTTTGGGGATGTCTGGACAATGAGGTGTAATGGTACTCTTTGTTTTGACAATCGGCATGTTTTGTTGCATTTAGCAAAAAGCAGTCACAGCAAATGACGGGACTGCACCCAGTCCTTCAGGCAGCCACATCCAACCAGGGCTGTTTCTCCACTGCCTAGGCCAGGGTGGGCTCTAAATTAATAGAAAGTCTTTTTCATCACTAACAAGACAATAGGGGAGTGCCCCCATTCCTCTGTGATCCTCTGTATACCTCTATGAGTTTACCCACCTGTGTAACAAAAATAATCAAAACAGGTGGATTTGCAAACGCACCTTGTTTTTTAAAAAGGCGAGAACACAAACACACTGTCCGGACTTTGGGCAGAGAAACAACATGGGTTTATTTTAAGGTAAGTACAACAATTAAGACCACATAAGACAAACACAGGTGAAGTTAAATTTTTAAAGTTTTTTTTTTCTTTTAGGAATGCTCGGGGAGGAATCTACTATACAAAACCATCACACTTTGTAAATAAAAAGTATCAGATACTTGACTTCTTTATCCGCCAACAACAAAAAAATAAATTATTTCCTTGTTTTGTAAAAGACCTACCACCGGGGGAAAAAAATTATATCTCGTAAGTGTACAGGGGGTAAAAACCCCACATAGGTTTCTTGAATTTTCATTTTGGCAGTTAGAAATGGTTGGGCAAGATGAAAAAAATTATCCAGTGAACTCAACTTTAAATATTATATTAATGGCTCTGAACAACAACAAAATAGCCTGATTACAAATCCACACATTTGTACAGCACGGTTAGAGAAATTTAAAATTACACACAGCACAAACGGAATCTATAGAGGCCCCCATAGACCTATGGAGGTCTCTACAGAGAGTCATTACTGGGTCTCTATGGGATTTGGTCCGTAACTTAATTTTTGAAACCCCAGCTGGAGCAGTGAGCACAACCATCCTGGTAGGGGAGGGGGGTTTAAAATCAATATTCATTTCGCTGGGCTGCGTCCCTTTACCGGGGCTTCTTAGGATCTCGGAAACCGGGCAGCGAATTAAAGTTACCTGCAGCTTCACAGAGGGCTGAGGCTGGCGCGCGCTCTCTCTGCTCCTGGGTCTGAGAAAAAGCTGGTGGGCATGTTTTGGTTCTTTTTGCGTCTCTGCAGCCTGAACGGTCTGAGAGGTCCGGGTGTGGGAGGCGAAGCCGGAGCGGGCCAGGCAGGTCAGTATTTCGTGCAGTCATAGGAATAGGGGGCGGCGTGGCGGTAGAGAGACGGCGTGGATCTGTAGGGCAGCTGACAGCTCGCGTTGGTGCTCACCTGCGGTTCCCCGAGGGTCGAGTTCTCCATCCCCAGCCGGTGGGAATTGAACATCTCCCGGACGTTGGGGAAAGTCTGCTGCTGGGCCGCGAACGTGTGGCCCGGGAGGTGGTTCAGGTCCCCGCTGTGGTTGAGATACCAGGAGGCCGCCTGAGCCGCGGCGGCCCCGGGCTGTGGCGCCGGCTGGGGCTGGGGAGCCGGCGGGGGCGGCGGCGCCTGCGGGTGGTGGTGGCCGTGATGCTGGTGGTGGTGGTGGCCCGCGGCGGCGAGCGCGCCCTCCTGGCCGGCGGCGAGGTTGAGGGCGCTCAGGGGCGACGTGGGGCCGCTCGGGTGGTCCGAGAGGGCCTCGTCCAGCGCGGGCGGGACGCACATGTGCGCGGGCCGCTCGGCACCGGTGTACAGGCTCATGGCGCGCATGCTGCACTGGTAGCCCCCGGCGCCCCCGGCCTCCAGGCCCTGCGTGCACGGCTGGCCGTAGGCGGCGGGCGGCGCGGTGGCGTAGGACAGCGCCAGTGGCGGCACCACCAGGCCCGCGCGCCCCGACGCGGGGCTCAGCTCGCCTCCCGGCGGCGACGTTCGCAGCGTCATGATGTTCTCCACGCTGAAGCCGGGCAGCCCGTTGGGCGCGCCAGCGTGGTGCTCGGGTAGCGAGCCGTCGGGGGAACCGGCGGGCGTGGAGGCCGGGCTGCGCGGGCTGCCCTGCAGCGCGCTTTCGGGGCTCAGCGTCTCCACCTTGGTGATGACCGGCAGCGCCGGCGACGCCGCCTCGCTCTTGATCACCACCTTCTTCTCGACCTCCTTGGGGGCGTCCGCTAGAGGGGGCCCGGCCGGGGCGCCCTTGCCCGCCGCCGGGGGCGGCTCCTTGAGGTGGGCCCGCTCCTCCTTCTCCTTGGGCACGTCCTTTTTCTTGAAGCGCCGGCGGCGCCGCAGGAAGCTGCCGTTCTCGAACATGTTGTAGGAGTCCGGGTCCAGCGTCCAGTAGCTGCCCTTGCCTGGTTTCTTGTCGTCGCGGGGCACCTTGACAAAGCATTCGTTGAGCGAGAGGTTGTGGCGGATGCTGTTCTGCCAGCCCTGCTTGTTCTCCCGGTAGAAGGGGAAACGGTCCATGATGAACTGGTAGATGCCGTTCAGGGTGATCTTCTTCTCGGGCGCGTTCTGGATCGCCATGGTTATGAGCGCGATGTAGCTGTAGGGCGGCTTTACGAGGTCCTTGGGCGCCGCGGGCTGGTGGTGGTGGTAGGGCGCGTAGGAGCGGCCCATGCTCGCGCCGTACTGCTCCGGGTGGCCGGAGTAGACGCCCATGGGGCTGGCCATGCCGCCGTAGCTGCCCGCCGCCCGGTAGTAATTTTGCTCGCTCAAGTAGGGCACCACTCCCAAGGCGTTGGGGTCGGACACCGAGTAGCGCGCCTGCATGCTGCGTCCGAGACGGCTCGCCGCCGCCTGCGCGCACGCACCGTGAGGAAGGCCCTGCGAGAGCGGGAGAGAGCGAGGGAGCGAGAGAGCGAGAGGAAGGGAGCCGGCGGGGGGAGCCCCAGGCGCCGGGAAGCCTTGGGGGCGAGGTGGGGGAGGCTCCGGCACTCGGCGCGCGCCTGAGCGCGGAGAAGGGACGCTCGTTGTCAGCGGACCGGGCGGATCGGCATCCTGGAGGGCGCGCCCCGGCGAGCGCAGCGCCGGCCCCTGCTCGATCGCTTGCTCTCGGGACCGGCCGGTGGCAGCCGGAGCTGGCGGCCGGGGACGCAGTGGAGACGCCACGCGCGCAGTGGACCGAGGCCGGCCGCTCTGTCCGCGCCGGGAGGAGGAAGGCGGTTCTCCTAGCCCCCCAGCAAAGAGGCAGCCCTGAGGGTCAGCGAGCCGGGGTCCAGAGTGGCTGCCCTGCCGAGCCCGGAAAAAGAGGCAAAGTCCCTTTTAGGGATTGGGAAAAGTTTCCAAAAGTCTTCTTGCTGAAAGCAAGTTTTTACTTTCCTCCGGCCACGCCCCCTCCGGGAACTTCGGACCAATAACCCGGCAGCTGTGGGGAGTTGGCACCAATCAGGGCGAGGAGCGCCGGAATCCGTCGGCTCTAAGACCCCGCTGCTCAGAACCAGACTTTTCTGCAGTTTGTCTTAACTTGAAAAGATTTTTAAAAAAGATTGATATCTTATTAAGATTTATTCTATTATCACATTTTGGTTCATGGACCCACATGCCCAGAGCAAACAAAACAAAACAAAACAAAACAAAACAAAACAAAACAAAAACCCAACAAAACCAAAACCCCATGCTCCTTTGCAGATAAAAGTTAGTTTGAAATATAAAATCGAATTGATTAATGTAGTCGATATCTCCCCAAAGACCCTGTGAGTAGCAAAGACCCTGGGACTATTTTTCTTATTAATGAGTGATGAGGCGAATAATTAGATTTCCTAATTATCGGGGCCAAGGTGTAATGGATTCAAAGCAAGTGTGCTGGATTGGTATGGAAGGGGCCTCCCCTGGATGTTGTCATCATTTAAGCAAAAAAAAAAAAAATCATTAATTTTCAACAGAGGGTTTCCAGGTTCAGGGCCGTCAAGAATAACCTAAAAGCTTTTAGAGGCAAATTATAAAAACTGAATGAATGTCCCTCACCTCCACAGGGGGAGGCAGGCCGTGGCGTCTATAGGGGAAAGGCGGAGTGAGGAAAGCAGCAGTATCTTTAGAATTTAATCCTCAAGTGCGCTGTAGATTCGGTAAATCGTCCGCGTCACCGTGAGCAGTTTTGTAGGGTTTGGAGAAAGAGAGTGGAATAGTTCCGCTAATTTCTCCCATTCCCCTCCCGCGTAGATGCTTGCAGCCCACCTTCTCCAGCTTTGCAGTGCCTTTCCCTTTTCCCAGAGATAAATCCCCTTTGACAAACTGACTCCCGCGCTCCCCAAAGACGGGAACAATGCAGCCAGCCACCCGGCCCAGGCAGAGCTGGGGCTCCTCTGCCCGCGAGGAGAAACCCAAGCCTGCTTTCCGCGGGGGCTGCGCCCCAAGACGCGCGTCCGTGGCGCCGGCACAGGGCGGGCTCCGGGCGAGGAAGCTGCCCCCAGCCCCGTCCGCTGGATCGCCAACCTCGGGGCGCAGTCCCCACCTCCCGCTCCCGGCAAAGCCCCTAGGGACTCTCCAAGTTGACTTTCAGTCCGTCGTCCTTTTTGTTTGGTTGGTGTTTGATAAGGTGATTTGGGCACCAGGGCTCCGTGGGAGGACGGGGTAAGTGATCGCAAACGGTTAAGACACCTCCAGAGGTTATGCAGTCGGGATATTGACCTGGAGTGACTCGAAGTCTTCGCCCTTCAAAGCTCTCCCCTCTCCTCCGGGTACCCCGGAAAGTTAGTTTATTTGTGGACTGAGTATTCCTTCCAAACCTCGAACACTCCGCTCACCCTTTCCCGCTTCCCCTTGAAGGGGGAAGGACACTCATAAGAAGGGCTGAAGACTGGTCAGAATTCTTCTGGAAGTTGTCCCTCGGTTGGGTAGGGAAGGCCAAAGATAAAAGTCTTGTATTTACCTACCCCCACCTCTCCCCTCTTCCATCAGTTGCTCACTTGATTCCCAGGAAAAGGGTGTGAGACAATCCACCCGCACTCAACTTTGGGAGGTGAAGAGAAGGCATTGGAGACATCTCATTCATTTTCAATAAAGGAACAAAAGAAATAAATATGCACGTGCATTATCTATGAATGGTATTATCTCCCGGCAAATTCTAAATCAGAGTGCGAATACAAACCCTGTTCCTAGTACCTTGAATATTCTGCTTTTGAAACGCTATTTTTTTATGGGTGCTCTGAGTCTTTCTCTAACTTGATTTTTTTTTTTTTGCAACGAAATAAAATCAAGCTTCCCAGTCCTCAGCTCACAGATGAACGGTCTGAGTGTTCCTCCACCCCACTACGACTTTATTATTTTTTAATATGTTCAGATCCATCTTTTTTTTTTTTAATGCCTTCCTCCTGGACTGCGTGACAGGCACCTTGAGTTCTTACGATTTTACTGGAAATGCAAACTATTGATCAAGAAACACTCCTAGGTCTGTAGGCTTCCTGGAGAAATATTATTCACTCTGCTTTTATGAGGTGCTTAAAAAAAAAGTTTTATCACAGCACAGGGCAAAACCCAAAAATACTGAGGACCATGGAAAATGCATTCCAAAATGGCAGTGTCCGTCTGAGTTTGTATTTACAAAGGTGTCCAGGTTTAAAATAATGTCATCTGAAAAGCACTAGGTTGAGTGGCCAAAATTATTACCCCCCCAAAAAAAAAACAGCGGTGTTGGGAGGAAAGAAATCCTTATAATCTAGATAGAAAAGGTGAGAGAGACATTTTCCTTTGCCCCTGGAATTAGGTTTCTTCTCCACTCAGTGGCACTCCGGGAGAGATGTTTGCACAGGTTATTATAACAACACCTTCCGCACACCTGGACTTTGCACAAACCGTATTTCCGATCTTTTCTTTAACCTGACAGGGTATTTTGGACGGGGGGCTTCTAATTCATTAATGATTTCTTCCCCTCCTGATCTTGTGGTCACGGAGCCGAGAGCGGAATCGGGCCCCAGAGGGTCCTGTGTGTTACTGGAATCATGAGCGATGATGAAGGCAGGAGAAATTAGAGGCACTCCCCCCGCCGCGGTCCCTCCACACCCCCACCGCGCAGCCTCCTGGCCCCGGCGCCGCGGGCTCCTGCACCTGGACGCGGCTCGGGCGGGCCTGTGGTGTTGGCGCCATCTGAAGGCCAACCGGGGAACTGCTCCAAAAAAGGAAAAAAAAAAAAAAAAAGGAACCCGGCCGTTCTTGTCGCAAGGAAGGTGCTGACACCGCATGGAGGCACTTTGGCATTGCACGGCAGGAATACCGCCTTGGAAAACCTCTAAGCCAGAGAAGCTAAATAAACTGAGTGCAGCGCGTCGATTAAGAAAAAGCAAAACATTTTCCATAGCTATGTAGTGTGTCAAGACCATGATCTGTTGGACAACAGAAATGTCTTTGAAACTTCTCGGGGGCAAGGAATCCTCTCTAGGGAGATTCGCTGAGGTGCTGAGCAAATAAAATCTCTGCCTCTTAGGTGGCTAGAAATCTAGGCATCCCTACCCCCCCCCCAACTTCACCCCTGCGGTGAACAGATTGCTTATCCCTCTGTGTCTTCCCACGCCTGCCGTCCTTCTGCCCAAGGTGTGGTGTGGGTCTCAGGAGATTCATCAGAAAAACGTTTGCACGGGATGTGTGTGTATGGCATCAGTTTGAACGAGAGTGAGAGTTTTAAACAAGTCTGCAGCCCCTTCTGCTTTTGAGGCACAACAGAGAATTCAAAGAGACCACAAGCAAAAGGAGACTGTGTCTTCTCTCACTGTTTCCAAGACATTTGTCCCAAGGCCCTTTCAGCATCTCCTTCTGGGCTCAGAAGATGCCTTGGGTTTTAGGGAAAGGGACCGGGGAGAAGAGCAGTCCCAGGCTTCCAAAATCTACTGGGTATCGATGAACCCTTGGGATGAACAGAATCAATGCTGCTGTGCAAAAATCCATCGCAACCTGGCTCCTAGCAATGATCTTTATCCAGGACAACAAGCGTGTCCCTGATGAGAACTGTCTGAGCCCCCCGTACCAAGCATGGCCTTCCCCAGGAGTTAAAGCTGATTCGGCACTGTTCACAGATGGCAATGCCAGAAATGACCTAATAACAGGGGGAGAGGACTGTCCTTGCTCGAAAGACGAAAGGAACATAATAACTAAATGCAATACTTGATCCTGAGTGGGGGAAATTTAAAAGGCGAATAAAGGACAGTTTTGAGAGTACCTGGGAACATTTGAATCTGGAGTGCATATTAGATAATAATCTTGTATCGGGGTTAAAATTCCTGAGTGTAATCACTCTATGTGGTCAAGCAAGAACACGTCCTTGTTTCAGGAAGGTACACGTCACCATGTTTAGGGCTGGTATTAGCCCTGCAACTTCTAAAAAGATTCCACTGCAGGTGGGGGTGGGGGAAAAGGGAGAAGGAGTGACATGTCTGAAATGTCAAATGAGAACAAATCGCTGAGCCTGAGGTGTGTGGACATTCGCTGTGCACCGTTCTTGCAACTTTCCTGTAAGCTTGAATTTTTTTTAAAGACTTTATTTATTTTAAAGATGTTATTTATTTATTTGTCCAAAAGAGAGAGAGAGAGCATAAGCAGGGGGAGCAGCAGGCAGAGGGAGAAGCAGGTTCCCCACTGAGCAGGGAGCCCGATGCAGGGCTCGATCCCAGGACCCCGGGATCAGGACCTGAGCCGAAGGCAGACACTTAACTGGCTGACCCACCCAGGCGCCCCTTGAAATTTTTCAAAATTAAAAAAAAGATGGGAGAAAAACACCTCTGTTACTCTGAAAAATTTAAAAAGGGATGTGACACAAAGCAAACATCCTTCCATGGAAGGAG